TCATTCCTTTTGGTTTCCTGGAAAGATAAAACAAGCAGGGGCCACGTAGACCACATATTCAGGCCAAACACATAGCACAATCAGATGTACTACATAGGCAGAATGGATTCGCAGGCCTAGCCAAATGAAATATTTGGACAAATTGGACTAAGCCACATTATTGTTCAGAACAGGCATACAGATCAATGTACTGCTTGGAAAATATTGACACCACCTTGCAAATATCAGAAAACAGGATTTCTGTGCACACTGTAAAATCCTTTTTTTGGAGTTCATTGGGGACACAGGGGGGTTTATTTACTAAAGCTGGAGAGTGCGAAGTCAGACTCCCTTCTGCATAGAAACCAATCAGCTTCCAGGTTTCATTGCCAAAGCTTCATTGAACAAGCTGAGGATAGAAGCTGATTGGTTTCTATGCAGAAGGGAGTCTGATTTTGCACTCTTCAGCTTTAGTAAATAAACTCCAGGGAGTCCTACCGTGGCTCTAAAGCTAAAACGTTGTTTACCTTCATGCAATCCCCACTTGCTGTGAGCCCCCCACACAAAAAACAATTACTGGACCCCTACATTGTGCCTGGCTGCAGTTCTTCTCTCCCCCTCACAGACTTTGGATCCTGCTGATGGCAGTCAAATCCTGTGAGCAAAGAGTGGAGGGGGGTGGGGCCAAGCCACACTGTGTGAGTCTATGGATGCACACAGCCTGGCTCGAGTGCAAGTAAGCACCTTGCTATGGTGGCAGACAAAGAAAAAGAAGAGCCAAGATCATGGAGGAGGACCACAGAAGAAGACAGGGGAGTAGAACATTTTATTATTTTAACTGAAAGAAAAAAAAAAAAGATTGCCTTTAGAAATGCTTTACTGTAGTTCTAAAGTCTAAGTGTTTTTTTTAATGTAACGCAGTCTGTACATTAAGGCAAAAAAAGCCCCAGTGTTGGATCGGTGGAGGAGTCAGGAGAAGCAAACAGCTGGTCAGGATATTTCCAATCTCCACAGAAATATAGTTCAAGGTGGGTGCAAAGGGAAAGTCTTTGCAGCCTTAGGAGTTTTAAACAACCTAAAGCTGGAAATAGCACTGGCAGAAGTAACAGGCTCGTCCTTGAGTTTTAGAGTGGTGCACCCTGCATCAATGAGAATGGAAACAGTCTCCTAATTAGAGAATTATGGCAGTAGACTATGATTTCTGAGGGGCAGGCTCAAGGACTAAGTCTCTGGTCAATGGCTCAGAAGCTGCTAAGACTTCAGGCAAATCAGATGAAGTATCTGTAGGAGGGGGTGTGGGAACAAGCATATGGACTTGTGACCAGTTTGTGAATACTGGGTAATTTGGGTCATAAAATCTTGCATGATGGTGGTAAAAGAACCTCAGCTGCGGGAGATCAAAGGATAACATGATCCCAGGCTCCAGACTTTGGCACCGTCAGAAGGCATGCTGCAAACAGCAATAAAATATTTATCAAAATTTGACATGGGGCATCCAGTACAGCGGGACATTCCCCACGGTGTCTAAAAGCAGACATGTTGCAACTGCGTGGCAGTAAGGCTAATAGGCAAGGCCTTGGGTACTCAACAAAATCCTTAAAGCTGGTAGCAGGGAAGGGTCAGATGGCTGGAGGTGACCAAAGTCATTGTAGGTGGGTAAGAGAAACAGATTAAAGACCAAAATTTCATGTTACCCTGAAACTGAACGGCAAGAAAGAGAGCACAGCGCACACGTGTTCAACATTCCACTTAGTGGATAATGTCAACACTTAGGACACAGTGTTATACCCTTCTGCGACAAAACCAGCTGGAATGGGGAATATATGTACTCCGTGACCTAAATAAGTAACTCTTGATGCTGGGCCCAACCAGCCTACTTGCAAACCGAGACTTCAAACACAGGGCAAGTGCTAAAGCAATGGAAATCTCTCTGGACCTGGAGTGTTATTGCCAATGTTTACTAGAATGGAAAGCACTCCATGTGGAACCCAATGCCGAAAGGTCACTTTCAGGCTATATCCACATGCCCAGTTCAGCAGGCTCAAGCCATGGTACAACAAAAGCTAGGCTGAAGAAAGCTGCAATTGAAGAGACAAGTTCCAACAGAGTCCTGACTGAAGGAAAAATAATCTAGCAATAAATTAGTGTTAACACAGCAGAGCAGTAGAAAAGTCATACCGCTTCAGCAAACAGTGAGGGCATGCTAGTAGTAGGAGGTTTTGCAGACGGTGGAATGGCTCCAATCAGCTCTATGGTCTAAGAAACTGGAAGCAACGAGCATTTCACCATTACGGTTCCACCAGATATAAGCAACACCATTTTAAATTGGGAAGGCATCTTGGTCACACCAATCTTGGTGTGATGAAATGCTTTAAGGGCAGAGGAGAGATCTAGAGCCTATTAGACCACAGATTTCTCAGAAAAGAGTACTTGTCACTGTCTATTGCTATCACAGGGGGCATTTAAATTCTCTGTGAGAATAAAAGTGAACAAAAAAAACATGAAAGGAACAGTATAAAAATAAAAAAAAAAAGCAAAACGAATGAAAAAAAAAAAATCCCCCTGTATGCAAAGGCGAACGCAAGTGTCGGTCCCGTGTCAGCATGTAAACAAACAGAGATTGCACCATACATATGAGGTATCACCGTGAATATCGGATCAAGGGCAGTAATTCTAGTACTAGACCTACTGTGTAAATCTAAAGTCATAATCTGTAGAAGCTTTGAAAGCACTACCTATGTTTTGTGCATTAAAATTCCAAAAAGTGTATTTCTTTAAAAAAAATTTGCGTTTGAAAAATCGCTGCACAAATACTGCGTGACATGAAAAATTGCAACACCCACCGTTTTATTCTCTAAGGTCTCTGCTTTAAAAAAAATATATAATGTTTGGAGGTTCAAAGCAATTTTCTAGCAACAAAAAAAATGTTTTTTTTCAAACAAAGACATGCTAGTAGGTAAATTGGATCCTGTCTAAATTGGCCCTTGTATGTGTATGTATGAATGTGAGTTAGGGACCTTAGACTGTACACCCCTTGAGGGTTAGGGACTGATGGGAATGTAATAAATATATATATATATATATAGCGCTATATAAATTGACGGTGCTATACAAGTACCTGTAATAAGATAAAAATAAAAGGCTTGGTCTTCAAGTGCTTGGAAGAGTGGGTGATGTATGGCATAACCTTCTAATGTTGGCCCTGAAATTCCAGGATAGTAGAAGCACCCCCCCACCCAAATGACCCCTTTTTAGAAAGCAGGCACTCCAAGGTATTTGCTAAAGGGCATGGTGAGTATTTTGCAGATCTCATTTGTTGCCACACGTTTTTGGAAAATTAAGAAAGAAAATGAAAAACGCATTTGCAAAATACCCACCATGCCTCTTATCAATTTCCTTAGGGTGTCTACTTTCCAAAAAGGGGTCGTTTGAGAGGGGGTGTTTGTACTACCCTGGCATTTTAAAGGCCTCTGCAACTATGAAAAGTAATGAGGAAGTGACATGAGGAAATATGCTCTTTGAAAGCCTGAAGGTGGTCATTATATTTTGCGGTCCTGAATGTGGCTAGACTGCCAAAAAGTCTCTCACATATGGTATCTCCATACTCGGAAGATGAAGCAGAATGTGTTTTGGAGAGTTATTCTGCATATAACCATGGCATACATGAGCAATAGATCATTTAAGCGACAACCTTGTGTAAAAAAAAAAAAAAAAAAAAGTTTAAAAATGGTCATTTTCCAAAATTTTGTGGCAAAAAATAAAATCTTCCATGGACTCTACATGCCTCTCAGCAAATTCCTTGGGGTTTCTACTTTCCAAAAAGGGGTCATTTGGGGGGCATTTTAGCACCTCAAGAAATGTGACAGGCAGTCAGAAAGTAAAAGCTGCGTAAATTCCTATATATATATATATATATATATATATATATATATATATATATATATATATATATATATATACTATATATACATATACATATATATATATATATATATATATATATATACACACACCTTAATTTAAAGACACTATAACTTTCACACAAACCAATTATTATACAAATACTTAAATATACTTTTACCAAAGACATGTACAACTTTCACACAAACCAAATAATGTACACGTATTTTTACCAAAGACATGTTGGCCTAAATGTATGACTAAATTTGAGTTTATTGGATATTTTTTATTACAAAAAGTAGAAAATATTGGGTTTTTTTCTTTCAAAATTTGTGGTCTTTTTTCGTTTATATCACAAAAAATAAAAAACTCAGTGGTGATGAAACACCAGCAATAGAAAGCTCTATTTTGTGTGAAAAAATAAACAAATTTCATTTGGGCACAGTATTGCATGAGCACGTAATTACCAGTTGAAATAGAGCAGTGTTGAATAGCAAAAAACGGTCTGGTGTGGAAGGAGGGAAAATCTTCTGGGGCTGAAGTGGTTAATACTTCCCATGCCTGACAATTGACTTGAAAGAATCCAATTCACACACAAAAAAGCCTTATGAGCCTTAATATTATTACAAAATAGAGTGCACTGGGCTGAAGTGCCACAAAAGCTGAACAACTCAACTCTAGTTTTTCACTTAGCTGTAAAGAGATGATGTGCATGCTGGGAATTTCAGCAGATAGCCTTCTCTCAACAAGCAACTTTGCATTATCTAGGGTCCAGTAAACCAAATGGGAGACCTCAGAGGGAGGCCTGTGCAGACACAATTAATTATATTACTTCTACCCAAAACCAAAACAGTGGGAGCAAAAGGTGCCAATGTCTTAGTGTGTTTCTAACACAGACCCCATTATGATGACGCTGCTGTGGACACACTAGGAGCCAAATACACAACTTTGTATATAAACACAGATCTATGGTGTAACAATGAAAGGCCCACTGGGCTGTTCTAAAAATTCTCAGATGTCCTTCAAGTGTACAGCAAGTTGATTCACTGTATGTTACAGGTATTTGTATACACACTGCCACCTAGTGGACAGTCAATGCATTAAAATCCATTAAAGTGTTACTAAACCCACTGCAGTTAAATCAGTCTGTATATGCAGTAAAGCATGCTGGTTATACTCCCTGTGGAACCTAAGGGGTTAATAATCTGCATTGTGTAAAAAGGCCCTTTGATCCAGTTTTCTCTGCCCTCCTCTTGTTCAAATGTCCACGTCTTATCTCCTGATAAGACATACTGAACCTGTAGCCACATGCACATGCTCAGTTTAGTGTATATTGCTAGAGGTTTTTTTTTTTCTTGGGGGAGTGCATGTGATCAGCACAGGGCCAATCAGCACTCTCCAGACAGAGGTCAGGGGTTTCGCATCCTCCTAGAGCAGAAAGAAAACTCCTCCTACAAGCTTTAACCAGTGCTCTGCTGAAGTCACAAGACTGCTCTCTAACTGCTCATGAAAAAGGGTATTTAGCAGTTTATATTTACTAAAATAGCTGCAATTCCATGTTGTGTGTACTGTGGGAGACCAGATATAGTGAATGCAGGGTCCGGGGTTTAGTAACACTTTAAAGCCAACTCCAGCCAAAACTTTCTCAATTTTTGGAAATAATTCTCTCAGGTTTTAATTGCTGTCCAGAACAGGATTCTTTGACACAGCTGATTTTCTATCAGCATGAAAATTTCTCAATTGAATTACTCACTGGTATCTAAAAAGGTAAAAGTATCAAAAGATGATATTGCTTTGTGTTCGCGCAGTTACCATTACAGTCAAAAGTCTGAGCCAAAGTTCATACCAAATAAAGGAAGTGAGCAAAACGTGGAGGCTGACTGAAGCCAAACTCCACCCAATAATTTTTCTGTATGTCTTGAACAGTGTAGGGAAGGTTGCACCCCTTTCTGTTCCAGCAACACCCCATATCAACACCTGTGTTATCAGTCTGGAGTGAGGGGAAACCTTTCCACACACCATCCAATATTAAAATTAAACTTTGACTGAAGCCAAACTTGTATTTACGGTTATGTTTTCTGTTATAAGGCCACTAAAGTACTCCAGAGAAAATATATAAAGCCCTGGTAGAAAAATGAACCGCAGATCTTGGCACCGCAAGGCAAGGCTGCTAACCATGCTGGTTTCCTTAAGATTTATTCACACCTGCAGTGCATTCCCCTTCACTTTTTTCAATTTTGTTATACTACAGTTGTTCAAGATCATTTTTTCACATTAATCTACACTTAGTAACCCAAAGTGACAAAGTGAAAACAGAATTTTAGAGATGTTTACAAATGTATAAAAAAAGGAAAAACTGAAATATCACATTGACATAAGTATTCAGACCCTTTGCAACAACACTTGAAATGTAGCTCAAGTGCCTCCCATTTCTCTTGATCATTTCAGAGATGTTTCTACACCTTGATTGGAGTCCACCCATGGTAAATGAAACTGGACATGATTTGGAGAGTACACATCTCTTTATAAAACGTCTCACAGCTGACAATGCATACTGTATCAGAGCAAAAGCCATGAGGTCAAAGGAATTGCCTGCAGAGTTCAGAGATAGGATTATTGCAAAGCACAGATCTGGGGAAGGTTACAAAAAAAATGTAATTCTCCAATGAAAGCAGTTTGGTACAACCAGGACTCTTCCAAGAGCTGGCTGCCTGGGCAAACTGAGCAATCGGGAGAAGGAGGGCCTTAGAAAGACAGGTGACCAAGAAGCAGATGGTCACTCTGACTGAGCTCTAGAGATCAACGTTTCAGGACAACCATCACTGCAGCCCTCCACCGATCTGGGTTTTATAGCAGAGTGGCTAGATGGAAGGCTCTCCTCAATGCAAAACACATGAAAGCCCACTTGGAGTTTGCAAAAGGCACCTGAAAGACTCTGACTGAGGAACAAGATTCTCTGGTCTGATGAAACCAAGATTGAACTGTTTAGCCTCAATTCTAAATGTTATGTCTGGAGGAAACCAGGCACCGCTCCTCACCTGCCCAATACCATCCCAACTGTGAAGCATGGTGGTGGCAGCATCATGTTGTGCGGGGTGTTTTTTCAGCAGCAGGGACTGGGAGATTAGTCAAGGTTGAGGGAAAGCTGAATAAAGCAATCTACAGAGATATCTCAATGAAAAACTGTTCCACATCGCTCAGGATCTCAGACTGGGCTGAAGGTTCACCGTGACAATGATCCTAAGCACACAGCCAAGACAACACAGGAGTGGGTTAGGGACAACATTGTGAATGTCCTAGAGTGGCCCACCCAGAGCCCTGACTTGAACCCTACTGAACATCTCTGGAGAGAGATGGAAATGGCTGTCCACCAACAGTTACCATCCAACCTGACTGAGCTTGAGAGGATTTTGCAAAGAATGTCAGAAAATCCCCCAATCCAGGTGAGCAAAGCTTGTCGCATCATACCCAAAAAGGCTTGAGGCTGTAACTGCTGCCAAAAGTGCTTCAACATGAAAGGGTCTGAGTTTTTTCTTTTTAATAAATTCACAGACATTTCTAAAATTCTGTTTTCACTTTGATATCATGGGGTACAGAGTGTAGGTTTGTACACTGTTGACACTGTTTTGTACGACATGGTTGCTACCAATGCTTTTAGGTTGTGTTTATACAGTTTGTTCCTTTCTCACTATGTTAGGTGGAATGTTCGGCAAGATGTTTTAACATGTACTGTGACAAAGAGTGAAATAAAAAATGTAAATTAAAAAAAAGAAAAACTATTCATTCAGGCTGCAACATAATGCTGCAAAAAAGTGAAGGGGGTCTGAATACTTTGTGAATGCACTGTATATGTTTATGTATTTTCCAGGAGCAATGCAGGCACGTGTCTCACACATGGTTTGTCGGGGCATGATTTCTATGATAGGTGTGTATTTTGCTGTTAAATGCATCAAAGATGAAATAAGCTAGGCTTTTTCAAATGAACGTGCCTGCAACCTGCAGGCATAGAACAGGCCTAATTCTAGGTATATCCAAAAATGTTGTATGTTAGTGGAGATGTGAATAAATGCGTTCAATCATCTATTTGCAGACAGAGCAGAGATGTTACAGACATTTAAAAATTCAAATTTGCAAGGCAGGAAAAAAGGAAGAAAACAACTCACCCTTTCCATCTGTTGCTGAGGCTTCCTGTAGGTGGCGGATTGACCTGGTAAGACAAGCAAAATGTAACTGCAGTATGTATAAAGCATGACACTAAGACATCGTATCTCATCGTGTGACAGCCTATTTCCTAGCTGACAGGACATAAACCTTTCACACTGTCTCCCTGTTAAAAATCCAACTGAAAAAGCAGTGCTGGCCCAACTAGGGTGCCTGGAGAGGTTAAGCCCACTTTGTTATTCCTTCCCTGCTGCACCCCTTTTTGTCAAGAGGTACTGCTAGTGTCAGGAAGGTCAAGCTATGCAATGCTCTCTAATAACAACTTGCTCTAGTTTATTGGAGCTACTAGTTAGCATTGAGGAGTCTTGTTCATTATCAACAACGAAGTGCAGCCACAGACCACCATTCACAGGGATCAACAAAGATTGAAGGTTGCAAAGCTAAAATTTAAAGACTTCAGTTTCCCAGAAGCCTGGAAGGTCACAGGATGCTCCTGGATTGCTTGCAGGCATTCTTTAGTCTGTGCTGAACAGATGTTTGCAGCTAAAAGTAAACAGGTTGAGCCCAGCAGCAGTTAAGTGGCCCTCTGCAGCAAGGTTTCATACATTTTCTACTAGTGTAAAGAGATAGCTGTATCTTTTTAAAATACACATTTCTCTGGAAGTACACATGCACCCAAATCGTAGTTACCACTGCTATCCTGGACAGTGAGATCTACCACTTAGATGTAGATTGTTTTTTTTTTTTTTAGGTATAATATATACTTTCCAATAACATGGTGCTTAAGGACTGTCAACCCAATTATGCTTTTTGAAAAGCTGCTACATATTTAAAGCGGAGTTCCACTCACTCTTTAAAAAAAATAAAAGTCAGCAGCTACAAAGACTGTAGCTGCTGATTTTTAAAAAACAAACAGCCACTCACCTGTCCCATGATCCCGTGGTGCCCCCTCCGCAGCCCGTTTCACCGGCCATCCTGTATGCCAGGTGCTGGCATCTTCAGTGTGGGCACCTGGCTGTGACAGGACAGCTTGCGGCTTCACAGGCAGGTGCCCACTGCGCATGCACGAGTAGCGCTGCGCTTTATGAATGGTCCTGTAGTCTTCTGGGACCTGTCACGTGTCCCACAAGACTATGGGAAGGGAGGGTAACTTCCGCTTCCGATTGATCGCTAGGTGATTGCAGCAGAAGTGGAAGCCGGTACCTGTCAATTTTGCGTACCCGCTCCCCAAAGTTGGCAATCCTTAATGGGGAGCGGGGAACCAATATTTAAAGTGGAACTTCCCCTTTTGGGTGGAACGCCACTTTAAGCTATTAGTACATGGGCAACTATTAACTGAATTATGGGACTAAAACAGCACAGATGCCATTGCCTAGTTTGCAACACACTGCTTCTGATATGTTTCTGATGCTCTCTGATACGTTGCACGAGCAAGTTTTATTCATGTGAACAGTTATAATTCAATTACTTTTTCATGTTTTGAATAAGCAACTCTCCTTAGGGGTCATGTCATTCTGTAATTTTGTGCAAAAGTTAAAGTGGAACTGTAGTCAGAAAAATGCTGCTAGATCTCTTCAGGTTTGCCCATTTTGCAGGTATAGCTATGCAAAACATTATAAATAAGTGCTTATACTGTTTAAAATCCAGTAACACACTGTCTCCCCTGATCTGCACATACTTAGTTGCTCTCTATTTTAATACACTGTGCCAAATTTGTAGAGGGTGATCTGCTGAAAGCCTAAAGATTTCCTGCTGCTCAGGGGCTGTAAGCTTTAGCACAATGGCAGATTCCACTGAGAAGAAACAGGAACAGAGTTGGAGGCAATTTACAGCACACACTAATTTTGGTAGCATAACTATTAATGTGGAATGTATGTTATTTTTTTTTTCTATAGTTGTTGTATGGGTTGTTATGGGTAAAGTTCCACTTTAAGTATAGAAAATACCTAATCAGAAAGCCCACTTGAAAGGGGTTTTAGGGAAAACTGCAAGTTCCAACCATCAATAGAATCAGAGGTTTAGGCAGCTTGCAAAATTCAACTCTCCTACTGACCAAAAAGGAAAGCTTGAGAGGTGAGAAGGGTGCAGCCAAGCAAAATGTTTACAGATTAATCTGCCTAGCAGCTATGCAGGCATCAATAAACTGAAGCTGTTCTAACAATTAATTGTAAGCAACAGCTAAAAGTAGAAATAAAGTGCGAATAGAGCTTCTACAAAATATTTAACGCATTTTCAGCAAAGTAAAAAATTGCTGAAGAGGAACATCAGCCAAGTAT